GATGTACTCACTCATATTTGGTTTCTAGCCATAAACCAAGGACATTGAGCCTATAATTAGTGATCCTAGAGAAACTAAATAAGGAGAACCCAAAGAAAAACATATAGGCATCCTCCTGAATATTAACCTTCAGCAAGCGATGAAAGGAGACAGAGACAGAGACCCACATTGGAGCACAGGACTGAATTCTCAAGGTCCAAATCAGGAGCAGAAGGAGAGAGAGCACGAGCAAGGAACTCAGGACCATGAGGGGTGCACCCACACACTGAGACAATGGGGATGTTCTACTGGGAACTCACCAAGACCAGCTGGCCTGGGTCTGGAAAAGCCTGGGATAAAACCGGACACTCTGAACATAACGGACAATGAGGACTACTGAGAACTCAAGAACAATGGCACTGGGTTTCTGATCCTACTGCACGTACTGGCTTTGTGGGAGCCTAGGCAGTTTGGATGCTCAACTTACTAGACCTGGAGGGAGGTGGGGGGTTCCTTGTACTTCCCACAGGACAGGGAACCCTGATTGCTTTTTGGGCTGAGGGGGGGGGACTTAATTAGGGGAGGGGGAGGGAAATGGGAGGCGGTGGCTGGGAAGAGACAGAAATCTTTAATAAATAAATAAATTAAAAAAAAAATAATAAAGGCATCCGCCACCACTGCCCTGCTTTTGTCTTGGTTTTTTTGAGACAGGGTCTCACTATGTAGCTTTGGCAAGTCTGAAATTCACTAGATCAGGTTGGTGTAAAGTAAATCACTCCCATCCCCCCATATCTCCCCACACAGGGGTGAGGCCACACTGTGGGAGAGGTCACACGCCTGGCTGTCCTGTGTAGACTAGGTTGGCTTCAAACTCAGAGATCCACCTGCCTCTGCCTCCCTAGTGCTAGGACTAAATGCATATACCATCACACAGGACTAAGAATCTTGTAAATCTTGAAAAAAAAATTAAACAAACAAAACATATGCTTCTAGTAACAGAGAAGAGAGTCCATGCCAACACTGTGATTCATAGGTGTTTAGTACATGAAGTTTAGGTTCAGTACCTCTCATTACCTCAAGCTATCACATTCCTAGTGAGTAACCCCAAACCAACAGCACACTACCACTCCCTGGCTAACTGCAAGGTCATCTCTGGAAGCTGTGTAAACGGAACACTGCCCCTTGTTTATACCAGCACAGACTCCTGGGACAAGGTGAGCGAGCTAATCCCATGGGTGTTTCACAGAAGCGGCCTTGCAATCACTACCCCTTATGAAATCTAAGTGTGTGCTCTGCAATTCTCTGAGAACATACAAAAACATGACAAAATTTTGTTAACCCTTAGTCAATTTGTGCGGAAAGAAGCATTGCAAGGGGCGGACAGCTTAGGGCAGAGGCTTGGTGTAAATGTGGCTTCAACTTGCAGCAGAGTTTCTCTGCTTTGGTTTTGGTTTGGCTTTTTTTTTTTTTTTTTTTTTTTTTTTGGTAGGGAGGAGACAGGGTTTCTCTGTGTAGCTTTGGAGCCTGTCCTGGAACTCCTGGAACTCGCTCTGGAGAGCAGGATGGCCTCGAACTCAGAGATCCACCTGCCTCTGCCTCCTGAGTGCTGGGATCAAAGGTGTGTGCCATCACTGCTGGGCTTGGTTTGGGGTCTGGGTTTCATGCAGCCAAGGCTGGCCTCAAACTCACTGTGTAGCAAGGATGGCCACGAGCTACTGATCCTGCCCAGCTTCTACCTCCCAAGCTCAGGAACCCCCACACTCAAGTTACTTAGGGGTCTTTGTTTGCATCAAGAGGCTTGAATTTTCAATCCTCCTGGCCCAGCCTACAGAGAGCTGGGTTTACAGACAGGCGCTAATGAGCTGCTGCTCTGTTGATATTTTCAAGACAGAAAAAAAAAAAAAAAAAAAAAAGACTCTTGAAAGGTCCTTGCCCTGTCATATCTATAGATCTCATTCATATAAGAGAGCCAACGCCATAAAATCCTGACGTCTATTCACACACACACACACACACACACACACACACACTTACCCCCTCCCAACATTACGCACAAGTAATAAATTTAAAAATTTGAAAGCGGGCATGTAGCCAGGCATAGTGGCACAAGTCTGTAAACCAGCACTTTGGAAACAGAAGGGTCAGGGATTCAAGGTCACCCTCAGTTAGGTAAGGAGACTGGGGATATATGAAACTTTTATCCCCAAAAAAGGGAGGAGGGATGCCTGGTGAGGTGGCTCAGCAAGTAAAGGCGATTGTTGCCAAACCTGAAAACCTGAGTTTCATCCTTAGGGTACACATAGTGGAAGGACAGAATCTGAAAGACCCAGATAAATCCAGGCCCCTCTAGCAGAAAAAAATAGAGCCAAAAATCTAAGCAGGGAGAGAAGAATCAAAAACCTAGATTAGCTGGTTCAGTGACTCTGTTTCAGGAACTAGCTGAAGATAAAGTTAGATTATAATCTTGAGAAACGGGGAGTGATTATCACTGGTATTTTTGGAATTTTCCAATGACGCCCTCCCTACCCCCTTTGGATTATTGGGTTATGGTTTCTTCCCTTAAATACCCCTTCTCCCAGCTACTAGGGGTCAAACTCGGTATCCCTGCGTGGGAAATGAGTTTCGGTCCCAGTGCACTGGTTCCAGTCCTGTCAATAAACCTCATGTGATTGCAGCAAGAAAGGTCTCTCGTGAGTTCCTGGGGGTTTGTGTTGTCCCGAGACTTGATTCAGAGTCTCCCCACTCCGGGGGGCCTTTCAAATCAAATCCTGTATTGTCCTCTGACCTCCACAAGTACATACCTACTGTCACATACACATATATAATTTTTTTTTTTTTTTTGGTTTTTTGAGACAGGGTTTCTCTGTGGCTGTGGAGCCTGTCCTGGAACTAGCTCTGTAGACCAGGCTGGTCTCGAACTCACAGAGATCCACCTGCCTCTGCCTCCCGAGTGCTGGGATTAAAGGCGTGCGCCACCATCGCCCGGCATATATAATTTTTTTTGAGACAGGGGCTCACTGTTGTAGTTCTGGCTGTCTTGGAACTTACTCCATAGAGCCGGTTGGCTTGGAATTGTTTTGGGTTTTGACACAAGGTAGTCCTGGCTATCCTGAAATCTGTGTGGACAAGGGTGGCCTCGAACTCAGATATTGCCTGCCTTTGCCACTCAATTGCTGAAATTAAAGGCATGAGCCACCATCACCTGGCTTTTTTTTTTTTTTTTTGAGATAGGGTCTCATTACATAGTCCTGCCTCTGCCTCCCAGACAATGCTAGGCTGTTGTGTATGCTTTTTGAAACTGGGGCTCACTGTATCCCATCTTAGCTTTGCACTCAATCGGCGGCCCAGCCTGGCCTTGAACTGGCAGTCCAGTCTCAGGCGCTCATGTGCTTGAATCATAGGCGTGAGATCCTACAGGTTTATGTGCCTGTCTTTCTTTTTTTTTTTTTTTTTCTTCCTTGGCATCTCATCTTGTAACCCTGGTTTGTCTGGAACTTGCTATGTAACCCAGACATACACAGAGAAAAAAAACAAACCAAAAACCCACAGATCCACCTGCTCTGCCTTCTGGTGCTAGGATTAAAGGTGTGTACCATCACTGCTGTATTAAAACAAATAAAAGAACCCCAAAATAAGCAAAAAGAAATCTCCCAAGATCCAACTTTATTACTTAAGGAAAAATTCATTAAATTCACTCCTTTGTTATGCACATAACAATTGAGCCAGAGTGACCACGGATACAATGAACACAAGAGGATTACACAGAACCACCATGCAGGAAGTATCCAGAGGAAATGAAGCTTTATATAAACCAGACTGGAGACTTCTATGTAGGTATTTGGAGGAATCAATAGATACGTTTTTTAAAGTCATCCCTCAAGACTCTAAGGAACCAAAATTAGGGCCCAACCTAACCCAATAAAGCCTAAGGAAGCATGGAAAACAAGTTATTATAGGACTGAAAAATTAAGCGCAGGCCCAAGCCCTTAAGAAAACGTTCCATATATAATACTAGCCAAGGCAAGGAGGCTGGGCAGATGGAAAGTCTCCAGACATGGAGGAAACCCCTACTTCCTGGTTCTATTTGACACCCTGACAGGTCTCCTTTTGAGAATTCAGGGTTCCCCTGCTTCTTAGACACCCAAGCCTTCCTCCCTCTGATTCCTAGGTCAAGACCCTCGGGGAAAATTCTGCCCTCATTCTGTTCCCTCAATTAGAGAACACCTGGCCAATTCCCCTGTCATTTCTGAAAGCAAGGGGTACCCTCTTCCCGGTAATTACCTCCTCCCCACCCGCCTAAACATAGGTTTCCCTCGTCTCCCGGAGCAGAGGACCACCCTGCTCCCGATCTAGCCAGCGGAGATACTCCAGTCAGCAGCCCTCGGGTGGACCCCTCTCCTTCCCACTGCCCCTCATCTTGGGAAGGGCGCTCGAGAAGGACCTGGCTCCTTTTCCCTAGGTCCGGGGACCGAGGCCTCTTCCTCCGGCGAAGGCTGGCCCCAAATTCCCACACTCAGCCCACCCACACCCCAGCCCCGGCACGCCGCCCCCTCCCCCGGGCACGACCAAGGCCTGACCCAGCTCCTCCGCGCAAGGCCCGAGCTCGCAGACCCCGCCTTTGGGGGGGTACCCCGGCTCCCCCGGCCCCTCCGCGAGGACTTCCGGGCTCCTCGGTCCGGGGGCGCCGAGTCTCCCCTGACGCCCCCCCCCACCCCGCCCGGCAAGCGGCTCGAAGGGCAGGGAGCCCAAGGCCCTGCCGGCCACGCTGGGGGCGGCCCGGCTGCTCGGGCGGACCCAGCGGCAGCGTCCCCCCACCCCCCCGCGGCGCCGCGACGTCCGCTCGCTCCCCGGCGGCGGCGGCGGCACGCACAGGGCGTGGGGAGGCGCCCGCGGAGGCAGCAGCCCCCCGCCCCCTGTGCGCCCGCCCGCCCTCGCCGGCCGCCGCGCGGCCCCCGCGCCCGCCCCCCCACCCCCAACCCTCGCCGCGCCCGCGCCGCGCGCCCACCCCTCCCCCTCCTCACCGTCTCCGTCGGGCGGGCGGGCGGCGAGCGGCCAGGGCGGGCGGGCGACGGAGCATGCGCACAAGCCGCCACGGCTGCCGCCGCCACCGCCGCCGCCAAGCCGGGCTCCAACACTTCCGGCCGCCGCCGCAGCTGAGCTGGCGCCTTAAAGGGAACGCGTCCCTATTGCGGGACGCTCGTGGGATGCACGCCTCAGCCCAGCGTTTTGGGCGGTTGTGAACTGAGACCTTCGGCTGTTGAAAGGCAGTGGTGGAGAGATCGCGGGAGATTCTTGGGACCGACTAAGGCTTAGACGCAAAGGTCAACTCGTCTTGACTCTTGTGGAGGGATAGGGTTTTTTCTCTCCCAAAATCCTGCTTACATTTTTTTTTTTTTTTTAGTTTTTCTAGACAGGGTTTCTCTGTGGTTTTGGAGCCTGTCCTGGAACTAGCTCTTATAGACCAGGCTGGTCTTGAACTCCCAGAGATCCGCCTGCCTCTGCCTCCCGAGTGCTGGGATTAAAGGCGTGCGCCACCACCGCCCGGCCTTCCTGTTTACATTTTATCAGGGTTTCAGGTGACCAGTACGGAATCAAAAGATGTGGCAGAACATAGATCAGTCACCCCTTCCTGCGTTTGAACCATGGCTCTTGGCCCAGGCTTTCCTGGTTGTGCGGGTTCTGGGTTCAAGTATGGATTTACTTGCAGCGTGTACAACTGTAAAATGAGTTGACAACTCTAAGCCTCTTTTTTCCCAAAAGGCATATACCGCGCATGTTCAATGAAACGATGCTTGAACAGTACTTATCAAAGTTCTTGAGGCCGGCAGTATTAACTGACAAGCATGAAGACAGTGTGGTCGGCCCTTGGAGAAGATGCTTTCGGTTTATAATCCTCACAGCGACCCTACCTGCTACCTTTCAATCTTCGTTTTAAATATTAAACGCAAGCATCCGAGCTTGGCGGTACACACCTTTGATCCCAGCACTCGGAGGCCAAAGTAAGCAGAGTTCATGGCCAGCCTAGTCTACATAGTGAGTTCTAGGCCAGCCAATGCTACATAGTGGGCCCCTGTTTAAAAAAAGCAAGCAAGCCGGGTGGTGGTGGCGCACGCTGCTTTTAATCCCAACACTCTAGAGGCAGAGGCAGGCGGATCTCTGTGAGTTCGAGGCCAGCCTGGTCAACAAGACCTAGTCCCAGGACAGACTCCCAAAGCTACAGAGAACCCCCCCCCAAAAGAAAAAACAAGCAAATAGAACAGATGAGGAATGTAAGGAGGGAAGTAGCCAAGTGGCAGAATACATGAGGAAGACCTGGGTTCCTTCAGGCAGTAAAGTTTTTTTTGTTTTTTTTTTTTAAGAGGAAGAATTGTTTCTCCATCTTGCTTCCTATACATTGTATCTGTCTTCTTTCCTTTAAGAAAAAAAACCATCTGGTACGGGCTCCTGAAGACCTGAGTTCCACCTGTTCTCTCTTGAACCTACATGGTGGAAGGAGATACAGCACACACTCATTAAACAAATGTAATTTTTTTCTTTTCTTTTTAATGCCCAAGACTAAGTTCTTAGCACAAAGGAGATTTATTTACCCAAGAGGGACAGAGGAAAAGATAAGGAAGATAGAGGGAGAAGAGGAAAAGAACAAGGGAAAGAGGGCAGGGGTATTCATGTTGGGGGGACTGCCTCTGGTTACAGGGGAGACAGACGTGGTGCATAGGAAAATGGCAGTTTATAAAGCTACAATTGAAAACCCTGTGTTAAGATGAGGTGTTTATTTTCATTGAATATGTTAATTAGGTGCAAAGGGGGCTTTTGATTGCTGGACTCCAATACTTTGATCACTGAACCTTGGTAGTCAGCGTCAAAAGGAAGGATTGGCCAAATAAGGGAACGGAATGGATCTTGGGCGCTAGCTTTAAGAATGTAATCTCCTGGTTTATAGAAAGGGAGAGAGCCGGGCGGTGGTGGCGCACGCCTTTAATCCCAGCACTTGGGAGGCAGAGGCAGGCGGATCTCTGTGAGTTCGAGACCAGCCTGGTCTACAAGAGCTAGTTCCAGGACAGGCTCCAAAACCACAGAGAAACCCTGTCTCAAAAAACCAAAAAAAAAAAAAAAAAGAAAAAAAGAAAGGGAGAGAAAGTGGGGAGAAGGGTAAGGCCTGACTGCCCAGTGGCTAGCGTCCCTTTCTATGGAAATATGGATATAGAGAGCGATGGAGATAATTCATTGATAAAGGGCTTGTGCAAGCTTGAGGAACTGAGTTCAGTCCCCAGTAACTACATAAAAATATAGGCAAAGTAACACATACTTTTAATCCCAATTCTGAGGAAGGAAAGACTCGCACATCCTGCGGTACACTAGCCAGTCAGACTAGGTAAACAGGCGGGCCTGCGATCATCTCAGAAAGACATGTGGATGGTGCCTTTGGAGGAACAGCACCCACAGTAATCCTCTTACCTTGACATACACACACACACACACACACACACACACGTATACACATACATACGCATGAGCCTGCACTTACATGGGCATGTCAGAAGCACCAGTACATATCACACACACACATATATATACAAAGCAGTATTTATAGACATATATATTATATATCTATTAACATATTCACATACATCTCTGGTTTGGCAGCTGGTCGCCATTGGATGTTTTATTAAAAGTTTGTAAGCTATCTTTCTAAGCTGAGTTGCAAGTCTGCTTAGCTGATAGGCTTAACTTGCTCACATACATTTTCACAGACTCTTGACTGCCCTGGAGCTGCAGTTCTCTGAGGCTCCTTTTTTGCAGCTCGGCTGTCAGGCCAGAGCCCAGGATCTTGGCTTACAGCGGAAACTGGGCTGCATGGTGGGACACAAGCCACGCTCTCCACTTGGCAGTGTCCCACTGGGGACTTGGGACCAGGAGGCCTGGCCCTCATTGCTTGCTGTGCCTGGGCACAGGCCATTTCCAGTGTCCTGCCACAGACCAGCATTAGAGGTGGCTGACAAATTTAGCTCAGGTTCTCAGGCATCTGCCCATGCAGCCGCTTTGAGACTGCCACGAGAGACCATGAGCTTAGGCAGGTATAGCCACACCTATTCTTACTATCCTTGCTTTTTTATTTTAAATCTTGTAATCACAAAATTAGGATAATTCCTGAATCCTCTTCTGTGTTAAAAGTCATGGGGCTGGAGAGATGGCTCAGCAGTTAAGAGCATTGCCTGCTCTTCCAAAGGTCCTGAGTTCAATTCCCAGCAACCACATGGTGGCTCACAACCATCTGTAATGAGACCTGCAGGAAGAATACTGTATACATAATAAAAACAAATAAATAAATATTTTTAAAAAAAGTCATAGATTTATCCATTATAGGTCCTTTGGTTCACGGGCCAAATAGCCTCTGGGCATTTCCTTTGCCGAATCTGGGCACTGACTGTGGGAGGTAGAGCCTTCTATACATTTTTGTCTCCTGCCTTTCCTGGCTCCACTGCGCAGCGTGGGTCAGACTCATCTGGCTACAGCACGCATGCGTGGACTGCCACACCCTCAGAGGTAACCCAGGCCGTTCCTGGGACTTGCCAAACTCCATTCTTCCCACCCACTGAGCAGCAACCGTGGCTGTGGCTAGGTGACCACAGCACCACCACTTGCAGGGGCAAAGGCGAGGCCGCACTTTGGCCTCTCCAAGTCCCACAGCAGCCTGAAGATGGCAGGGTATGCGCTGCCCGCACGAGTGCAGGAATATAATATTTACAAATTCTAAAAAGTCTCTGAAATTACCTGGTGTGAGTGAGAAGGAAGCATAAAACACGCAACAAACTCACTTAGGAGTTTATTAGAGGAGACATGTACAGGTGTGGGAAAGTTGGTGTGCAGAAAGATTAAATAAATGTAATTTTTTAAAAAGATATATAAGTATGTGTGATGGCAATTCTTGGTTGTCAACTTGACTATATCTGGAATGGACTGCCATCCAGAAATGGCGGGCACACGTGTGACATGTGATCTGGGTATTGAGCCAGGAAGACTCATTATATATGTGTGTGTTATTTTATGTTAATTGGTGTTGTACCTGCATACATGTATCCACAGAACTGGAATTACACAGTTGTGAGCTGCCATGTGGTTATGTGGTTGCTGGGAATTGAACCCAGATCCTCAGGAAGAGCAGCCAGTGCTCTTAACCTCTGAGCCATCTCTCCAGTCCCGCCCCCCACACACTTTTTTGTTTAATAGATGCACTCCTTTTTTGTTTGCCTCTGCCTCCCGAGTGCCCAGTGCTGGGATTAAAGGCGTGCCCCACCACTGCTCAACTAGACATACCCTTTTGATCAGGATCTTGAGACAGGATGACACATGCCTGTATTCCAGATCCTGAGGTTCCCGGGAAGGCGCACTTTTAATCTGAGTCACACCTGCTGGACAAGAAGAAAGGGTTTATCCATTCTTCACCTGCTGGCCCTCGCCTTGTCAGCACACCCATTCCCTCACTGACATTGGAGCTTGCTTCTTCATGCAGAAAGGCCAGCGGAGACACCCAGCCTCGTGGGACTGAGCAACTACTAGATTCTCAGACTTTCCATTCACACATTCACAACTAGCCATTGCTGGACTGCAGCCTGGAAGTCATTCCAAGCAACTCACACTCACACACAGGCACACATACATACGAGAGAATGAGAGAGAGAGAGAGAGAGAGAGAGAGAGAGAGAGAGAGAGAGATTGGTTCTGTAAATTCTATGACTTTAGAGAACCCTGACTAATATAGCATGTGAGAGGGTTTTAACAGGGTTTTTTATTTAAGGGTAAGCAGGAAAGGATAGGAATTGGTGGGGGCTGGGAACAGGCCCAGCAGTTAAGGTATATACTGTATATACTGTTTTTGCTGGGGATCAGGTCCCCAGCACTCACGTGGGCTGGCTCATTATCACCTGTAACTCTATCTCCTGGGGATCCAACCCCTATTGTCGTCTCCAGTGACACTGCATCCAAATGAAAACATAGACACAGTTAAAAATAAGAAATAAAAATTTAAGCTCCCCGTCCCCCAAGGACAGGAATTAAACAACCAGAATTCCGGGATTGGTGTTAGGGGCTCTGGGATCATGGCCAAGTCACACCTCCCTTAGCCTTGCTATCGTCACCTATAAAAGAGTTGGTTGTCCCA